GACGATGATATACACATGTGCATAGCGCGCGTCAGGTGTTCATGCACGTGAAGCACATGTGAGCGCAGAATGTAAAATCACTGAATCGGTAGTTACACCGGTCGGATCCCACCCCCGTGGTTAAGGCATCAGGTGGAATCCAGGAGACTGGGAGTTCTAATCCCATTTTAAGCACGCAACTAGCAGGTAATGTTTGGTAAGTAACTCTTTCTCAACCCTAGGAAGGAGTCCATGGCAAACCATTTTCCAAAAACCTTGCCAAGAAAACTGCAAGAATTAGTTCAGGCAGTCACCAAAAATCAATAATAACTAAAAGGGACAAAAAAAAATTACTTCTGCAACTTCTACCGCACCTTTTATTCAATTTTCTTATTATTTCCTATTATTCCATCCTCAAAATAATATACAATACTCAAAGTTTCTACTTTGTTTCAATAATAACCCATCATGTTTTACAAAGACATGGAGAATAATGTGGGGTTTTTTTTAAAGAAAGAAATACATTTTTGAAATCTAAGAGTAAATCATTTTAGAGTCTGCATCCTATAAAACAGCACACATTGTATAGGCAAATGTCTAAAAGAAATGTAAGAAAGCCAATGATTATTAGGGTAAATTAAACCAAGGTGGGGAGGAATTAAATGTCTCTATTTCTGGAGTTATTTTCTCTCCATGTGATAAGATGGAGCAGGCAATCTTACAATAGCACCTTTAAGATGTCACTTTATCAAACTGAAACAAAAAATAAACAAAGGCTAACTAAGTGTCAAGAGGAATTCATCTGAACAGATGTATGCCATAATATTGCAATGTTGTTTTCTGCTTATATCCCATCCAGACAGCCCAATTCTATCCCAGATTAAGGGACTGCAGGGTTGTAAAGAGAACAAATATGTTATATTATTGATTAAGATTTCCTATAAATGTGCACATCTAGTGAGGAATACATCCATGTCAGCCTTACCAGTTAGACCAGACAGGAAACAAAACCAAATATATCAATCTCATTTTATTGTAAAAATATGTTAACCAAATCTTGCAAGTTTGAAATTAAAATTTTCCCACCGTCACAGTTATACCCAGAGAACTTAAGGAGGGTTGCTTCTGATCCTCTCGCTCTGCCCATAATGCAGCTGCTGGCTATGCTGTCTTTTGCCTGACTATTCCCTTGGCAGCAACCCTTTGCCACTGTCTCCCAAGGCCATTCCCCCATACCATTACAATCCAGAAGAACTCAGAGAGACTTATCTGCTTATCAACCACGGTAGAATTTCACTACAGATGGTCCTCATTTAGCAACCACAATTGGGATTGGCAACTTAATCAGCAACTCAATTGGGATCGGCAACTTAAGTGAAACAATCACTAAAAGAACCCTTTGCAGGTTAAAGCAAAAGAAAGCTGAAGTAAGATCGTAAGAATAATTATGATCTCACTTCAGCTTTCCTTTGCTCTACAGGCCTGCAAAGGTCATAAAGGTGAGGACTGGTTCTAAAGTTACTTTTTCATCACCCTCCTAACTGTGAATGGTCACTAAAGAAGGAAGTGATCAAATAAGTATTATCTCCGTAAGAATGTTCCATACTTAGTATGAGCTGTTCTTTTTGTCCCATCTTATGGTGGTTCTTTAAATTAGCCTACGAGACTTTGCACTTCAATTAAGTGCATTGCCTCAGATGAGAATTGCTCATTAGATAAGCTCAGAGAATTAATAGTAGAATAGACTCTTCAAGGATGCCTTTTAAGCATACATGTTACCTTACAAGATCCACAAGAATTGGGAAGCACTACAGGTGAATAATTCCTGCTTGTTCAAACATCAGATCAAAGCAATAGTGAAATCTGGATGAGAAGCACAGTTCAGGTAATAAGAATTTGGAAAATGACAGTTGTATAAAACTTGCAAAGCTCTGAAGCCTTATTTTAAGTTTGCCTTTCCTGTTAACTTTTGTGCTAAATCTCTCAGTGCAGGAATGATAATTGGATTGGGAGAAGCTACCAGGCGTAATCGAGAGTACCGCCTGGTAGCTTCTCCCAATCCAATTATCATTTTTGGGCACAAGAGTGAATCTATGTACCCAACGGAGAAAAGAGGTAGGTTCAAAGTCCTCATTTGAACAAGGAGCTCACTCAAGGGAAAGTTCTTGGGATTATAAAATGCCGCCAGAAGAGGGCAATCACAATACTCCCAGTAGTGTTATTTTGTTGAGGGTTCTAATAAAAATCATGTTTACATTTAGCATGTTTCAAAGAGAAAGAATACAGTACTGCTTTATCCCATATCCTTAGCATCCTGCTTTTGAAGTCCTAGCTGTTCGGCTATATCAATCTCCATGAATCCAAGACTTAAACAAAGGCAGATGTTAACTAGCGTGTGGAATGCTTTCTGACAAAGTAAGGAGATGCACAAAACTAGAAGTTAAGGAAACATGCTCCTGTGCCCAAGGATAAACGTTCAGTCCAACCCTTCTAACCAAAGACATTTTCTAGCCAAGCCAAGAGTCTTGTGATTAACATGAAAAACAAAAGCTTCAGACTTATGGGCCAAAAGCCAGCAGCACAAGGTGAAGCCTTCCAGCCTTGTCAAAGCAAACTAACCTGGATCTATCTGTCAAAAGATCAATCCCACTCAACAGGAGTCATTTCCTGAAATTGCATGACATCTGGCTTCATATTACAATTGTATTTATTTGATGGGAAGCACACAGGTTCACTGTAATAGGTGATTTGTTTTTGTTTTAATTCTGTGCCCTTGCAGGAAGGATGAATTTATTGAAGCAGTAGCCTTGTCCTGGATTAAGCCTTCAGGTGCTTACAATTAAGGAAATAAAAATGTAAACTGCAGCATGACAATACACAATTTGTGCAACAGCTTCACTAGCCCCCACTTATGACATTTCCACCTAGCCACCTTTTTCATTCCCCAAACTCTCTTACATCCATTCACAGTCTGCAAGTGTCTTCACCATTTCGGTTATTGCTACAATAAGGGATTGTCAAGGAACTTTTCCTCCAGATGACCAACAGAGAACACAAAAACTGACAGAGAGAGCCTTCTAGTTTCATCTCCATCTGATTTTGCAATTTATTACTAAAACAAAACCCCAGCCAGTGTGAGAGGGGATTCAAAGAGTACTCACTTTTTAAAGAAACTGATGAAGAAATGCAGGGAACAATATGGGATTTCAACTCCTGGAGGGAAAGCTAAGGAGGCAGGACAAAGGAGTATTCTTCCCAACAGTCTGAATCCTACCCTATATCGTCTGTCTGTCTGTCTGTCTGTCTGTCTGTCTGTCCATCTATCCCTCTGTCTCTCTCTCTCTCTCTCACACACACACACATATCTATCTAATTTTGAAAACTGCCTACCTCCCTCAGATTTGCAATGATCCTCTTGGGCTGCCACGGAGCTGAAAAATCATGGGTTCTGCTATCTGACGAGGATGATGGACTGTGATCCTGCTGGCACAGAGCCAATCCAGGAGCAGCATTTGTCTCCTGTGGAAAGAACAAAAAAGTTTCAGGACTAGGAAGACTAGACTAAGATGATCTCCCACTTAAAAGAAAAAGTAACAACTTCACAAAGAGAAGTTAGCAAGTTATCTAAGGGCAGCGTATACAATTTCATTTCCTCCAGCCCCCAAAAAGAAAAAAGATTTTAGACTAGGAAAGAGAATGCCACTGTGGTAGCTATTTCATGCTGGCTAAAGACACAGCTAGCCTTCAGGACTTTAGCCAAAACATACCGCAGGCATTTGTTTTAATTCCCAAATTGTGCAGATGGGGAGATGTAATGGGGAGGACATTTTCCCGGATGACTGCAAAGGTATCTAGCCAAGCTGTAGGAATTAACAGCAAGGAATCCTCTTTTGAAAGTCACCTCTAAACTGATCTTCCTGTGTGCGTTTGAGTTTTCTATCTAAAAAAAAAAAATCAAGCTGGGATATACATTTCTCCTTTTTCTAGGAGTAATCCAAGAGCTCAGCCTGCAGAGCACAAAAGAAGCAATAAGTTCGGATAGAGGCAGAGAAGAAATTGAATTCAGGAGTTACTAAAGTGCTAGGTATGCTGCTATATCTTCACCAAAAGTCACACCACATCTGATCAATCTAACTATCATACCGTGGGATTCCTTTATATATGAGGAAGCCTATTCTCAAAACTATCAGATGGTTCTAAATGTTCAAAAGCCAAACCACAGAGTTCATTCTGAGTCTGTGGGCTAGATTCCGAAGCAATTGGGCAAAAGAGCAAGTCAAAATATACAAAAAGACCAAAGCAAGCAAGAAAGATAGACTTTGGTTCTACATATCTAGCCTTTGTGGACCAAGTACCAAAGGGAGAGCAACACAGAGAAGAAACCAACAGTTTTCCAAAAGTAAAAATGATGGAGAGAATTCCCCAAGATTTTTCTCCTAGGAAAACATCCAGGGAACAAAAGGAACTAGGAACATTAACCGATCTGTACATTTTACCTTAGCTCCCTTCTTCCCAATCTCCGCCTCACGATGCAAACATTTTGCCATTCCTAGGATGATTGTTTATAGCACGTGCAGTCTTGCTTTACCACTGGATTTTAATGGCAGGCAATATTTTCCAATAAACGAAGATGGTGAGTTGCATCATTGCCCATGACTTGAATGCTGATTCCTCTATTGCCTCCCTGTAGTATTTCCCAAACTGCAAAGCCTATTTGATCAGAGATGTCAATGAAATAAAAGAAATAACTCTACGTATGGCATAGGAAGCTGCATGCTTCCGTCTTACGTCCTGCACCTCTCTTAAAAACAAAAACTACAATCACCTGCCAAAAATTAGCAGCAAAAGAAGGAAGTTTTATGGATGATAGCAGCTTCAACACATTCATCTGCATGGTATGAAATAAGCTCTTCTCCTCCCCTAAAACCTTGAAGGTTTCCACTAAATAAAAAGCATCCTCCATCTCATTCCCTTCCAACTTCCTTGGCTGGAAAAATGCGTTCAAAAAAAAGCCCACTTACCTGGAGTTACTGTTTCATTGCAGTATCTGACCCAGCTCCTTGTTCTTAGATTTCCATTCTTTTTCCACTCTGCAGAATCTTGTGGTGAGCCCAAGGCAGGGGGGTCTCCTTCAAAGTTTTCTCTTTTAGAGAAAACCTCCCTCTTCTGCCCCTCTAAATGACAGAAGTGGACTTTTCCCTGACAGCTGTCCTGTTTGTATAAAGCTGATGGACCAAGCCCTTCAACGGGATGTCACTGGTAATCTCTATCCCATAAAGCTGGATGTTCTGTCAGACTCTGCCTGAGTGAAAGCAAGACAGAAGGAAGCGTGTTTAGCAACACAGAGAGAGAGAGAGAGAGAGAGAGAGAGAGCAGGAGGTGGGGGGAGAGAAAGAGAGAGAAGCAGTGGCTGCTGTTCATGCATTGTTCAACCACTGCAGGGCTTGTTACATTGCTGAAACATCCTGTGGTGATTAAAAAGATTAACTCCCTATGAAATATGGGTTGTGCTGGGGACTGGGGTGTGTGTGTGTGTGTGTCACCATGTGCATCTTCATTAGAGGAATGGAATTCAGCAGGCTAGTAGCATGCTCACCTCCAGGATTTTATTGCTTCATACTCCTCAGCAAATCCTCTCCTTCTATTCTTATTCATGCCTTCCCTTTTCCAAATGCAGATGTTTGATATTAGGTCTTATTCTCTCCTACATTCATCTGCAAACAACTTGCTTAATACTGCTTTCTGCATATGCCCTCCCCATAGATTTGTCTCCATCTTTGGACATGCATGGTGCTCCCCATATAAAGTTTTATACTTGATTACCACCCCTGGATCTATACTCCTGGATTGATTGATACCTTCCTTCCTTCCTTCCTTCCTTCCTTCCTTCCTTCCTTCCTTCCT